TATCTATCAGGTGCTGGGATTTACTGAGGCACAGAAGTCACAAACACGGGTTAGACACCTCAGGGGACAGGGCAAGGGGAGATGCTCAGGAAAGGGTTTCATAAAAGCTAGCCTGCTAAATCAGGCTGTCAAAGTGAGAAGTAGAGGAAAAGCAGGAGGAGAGGACTGATAGCAATAATATGGGTAAAATCCTTTATTTCTGATCTTGCAGTAAAAACTCTTCCACAAGCCTTGGGAAGGAAAGGCATTATTGTGTTCCTACCTTATCATGAGAAGACTTCAAATATGCCATCTCCCACTTTGCAACTAGCCACCATGTACTGGGTCATGCAGTTTCCTCTGTCAGGGGCTCTGCTTTTTCTCCATTTGATAAATGGCCACAGCAGCACTTTGCTAGTCAAGAAAGATGCCTTGTAAATCACACATCAAAGATGCAGTGCTGAGTAATAGCAGCCTTAGAAGGAGTATGAGTAGACAGACCTTTCTCTGTGTTAGGAGAACTGTGAAGCTAGAAGAGGCTGGAAAACAAATTTCACTACTACAGATGCATCTAGTACCATGTCAAGAGCTGAACCATGTTGACATTGGGAAGTGACTCTATCAAGGAGACAGAGTAGGAGTAGGTCTCTCAGTAAGACCTAAAGAAGAGGAAGAGAGAGGGAGAAAAAGAGGAAGAAGAGGAAGAGAGAGAGAGAAAAAGAGGAAGAAAAGAAGAGGAAAAGAGGAAGAAAAGAAGAGGAAAAGAGGAAGAGAAGTCAAGGCAAATCAAAAGGCAAGGGAAGGCAAGGAAAGGCAAAGAAAGGCAAGGCAAGGAAAAGAAAGGCAAGGGGAAAGAAAAATGTCTGAACTGCAGCAATTATCACAATTCCTGTAGTGTTTTGTGTAGAACAAAAGCCATGAAGGAGATGACAGCTAAGGGATTTCAGCAGAGACCCACTGAAAGGCATCTTTTTGATCTGTGTCATTGGGGCTGCTTCCATATTTCAGTACAACTAGTAGGGTGGCTGTGATTGCTCCTCTCTGTACAAACTCACACTCTGATTATTTGTTTCTTTGTATTTGATGGGTGTCCCTTTTTCTCCTTCCTTCCCTAGACTGCCTTTCAACACCTCCTGCTGTCTAAAATTATCTGGTCTCTGAATGTCTGTGTTTGGATATCAGATCACCTTCTACTGTCTGTGGCTGCTTTACTGCCTAGCAGAATATTGATTCTTCTTTTGCAAAACACACTGGAGGAGGAGAGGTGCAGAAATCAATATTTCATTAGACAGACCAGAATACAGCAACGTCTGATCCAGACCTAGGACATGGAATAGACACCATAGGATTAGAGTTGTAACAAAAGGCAACACAGCATCAGAAAGGAAGTGATCAAGACATAGAGTCGGGACAGCAGGAGTTGGTTTGCTGGCATAAGCACAGGCTCCTTTCAGCAAGTGACTTAACATGTCACTTCTCATCCACATATCAGTTGTCATCTGAACCATGGGAGAAGGCTGGAGCTAACACAAGCTCAAAAATAGCTGTGCTATCTTCTGGAGTCACCCTTCCTCTCTTGCTCTGCTGTACCTGACAGAAATTTGCATCCACTCAGCTTAGACAGTTTACATAAATGTTCAGGATGAGAAAATTCCACTCTGATCCAACATACACTATGGACAGGTCTGTTTATTCCTTTCCTCTTATACAGAACAAAAGGTAGATTTTTATTCACATGGGTGCGAATGCTTTAGGTAGCAAACCCACACGTTTTGCTTGAAGAAGAGTTCAGTCACATAAACTTCAGCAGGGGCATCTAAAGGAATGGCCCCTGGCAGAGAGGAAGGTAGGCATGGACTGAAAGCAGAAGCCTTTTTGGGTGGAATGGCCTGAAAGAGCTGGGGTTGATCTCTAGCTAATTCTAATTCACATATGTTCAGTAGATCTAGACAGACACCTAATAGAGAAACAGCAAACTCAGCCTAAAATGCTGCTAGCATAATAAGGAATTTAGGTCAAATTTGGTGACTAATTTAATTAAAAATAAGAAAGAGCAATGCAGAAAAAAAAAGAGGCTTTTAATTTTCATATTCTCAAACCCAAATATTTTGACTTTTCATGTCAAAACAGTATTTTCATGTTTAAATTTGGCTTTCTTCCCCCAGAAAGCTACAGAAGTCTAAAAAGAGGTTTAATGATCCAATTTTACTTTGGTTTGATTTATGGCTGAAGTAAGACATCATTTTTTTTGCTTCTGAAATTTTAGTCTCAGGTCTAGCACATGGTCTTCCATCCATCACCAGTGGGCATAAGGGATGTCCACCTATACCCATTTTATGCTTTTGGGGTTTAGGGTTCTTTCTCCCTTTCTCACTCTTATAAAATGCTGATCTTAAGTCTCTGACAAAAAGGGTTTCTATTGATACAGCTGAACATTAATCATTTTGGGCACAATCTCAGATAGTCCCTAAGATATTACTGAAACAATGCACTTTGCCATTCCAAGAGGGACGCAACACATGGGTAAATGAAGTAGATATCAGTCCATTAGTAAAGAAATACGCAATGCAATAGATTTTAACAATCTTGTTTTGTCTTCAGCTTTCTCAGCAGTACTGAAAGATACTTTTCATGTCTATTTCTTCTGACAAAATTTCACAGTGTCCTGAAAAACGATTTGGTGCATGCTTGAGGAATGCGCTTGTCTAGTCTGAGAAAGCCATGTGATGCAGTAACATTTTAGCATCTCAGTAAAGAGCTGATTCTCAGTTCTCGGGCACTTTCTAGGGGTTAACATGTAAATGAATTGTCTGAACATTTGTTTTTTTGCAGCCATCTGATATTATTTAGAGGTCAAAGGTCAAATATTTAAGGTCACTTGCGTAGGTGAAGAAACATGAGAAATCTCAGCACTAATGAACATTTTCAGTTAGATCCCCAGATTTCAGCTCTTTACTGTGGTGTGAAGGGATGGTCAATGGAGTCTGTGGAGCTTTACCATTGATTTCAAGGGGATTAGAAACTTTAGATTTTTGTCTTCATATATTTGCCTCACCTCAACTGAAGCACACACATGTACTTTGGTTTCTTTATAGCTGAACTTCATAATTAAACATCTCAGCTGACTGTTTTTGAACATACATGTGCAGGAAAAGGTTTCACATGTTAAATTGTACAGGTTATGTTGAATTGATGCTGAGCATTTGCTGAAGGTAGACTTCATAACATTCTATGCATGGGTGTTTATGGTCTAAGTACACCAGGCCCCAGATCCAGCTTGGAAATCTCAGTAATCTTAGACAGCAAATAAAAGCATAGTGTTTATGGAGGAAGGGGAGTGTGTCTATATATACATAAATATATACATATATGTTTATATGCATTACTGTGTGTGCATAATGTGGGTTTGTGATCCTGCCCCTTTACTCTGCTCTTGTGAGACCTCACCTGGAGTATTGTGTGCAGTTCTGGTGTCCACAACATAAAAAGGACATAGAACTGTTGCAACAAGTCCAGAGGAGGCCACGAGGATAATCAGGGGACTGGAGCACCTCCCGTATGAAGACAGGCTGAGGAAGTTGGGGCTGTTCAGCCTGGAGAAGAGAAGGCTGCGTGGAGACCTCATAGCAGCCTTCCAGTATCTGAAGGGGGCCTGTAGGGATGCTGGGGAGGGACTCTTCATTAGGGACTGTAATGATAGGACAAGGGGTAACGGGTTTAAACTTAAACAGGGGAAGTTTAGGTTGGAAATAAGGAGTAAATTCTTTCCTGTTAGAGTGGTGAGGCACTGGAATAGGTTGCCCAGGGAGGTTGTGAATGCTCCATCCCTGGCAGTGTTCAAGAGCAGGTTGGACGAGGCCTTGGCTGATATGGTTTAGTGTGAGATGTCCCTGCCCATGGCAGGGGGGTTGGAACTTAGAATCATAGAATCATAGAATGGTTTGTGTTGGAAAGGACCTTAAGATCATCAAGTTCCAACCCCACTTCCACTTGATGATCTTAAGGTCCTTTCCAACCCTAACTGTTCTATGATTCTATGATTTCCCAGAAAATTAAAGCTGCAGTGAGGTTTCTATATCCTATCATAGAGAATAAATAACCAGTGCCAATAGTTAAAGTGGAAGAGTGTCTTTTATGCCAGAAAGCCTGAGTTTTTATTCCAAACATGTTAGTGGCTGTCATTAAAAAAAGTCCTTACTCAGTATTAGTACTTATTTTATATGCTGTTCTGAGCTGTGTCTCACTGATCAGCCTATTTCAGCTCTGCCTATTCTACAAACAGAGTAAGGGTTGCTGCAAATGAAATGTGCTGTTGAAGTAAGGCACAAGGAGAAAAATGTGCTTCGCCTTTCCTTCTAAACTTCTAGAGTGAGGATTTCTGACTTACAAATGAAACCAGTGATGTTATATCTCTTCTGAAGCAGTAAATTTGTGATAAATCAGCCTCAACTAAAAATAAGTGAGGACTTCAGATGATATAGAACCTTTTTACTGTTTTGTGAATAACTTGAAATTGTATCATTTATTCAATGAATCTGGCTCATCATGGGTTTCATTGTGAGCACTGTACACAGAAATCTCTTGAAACTGTGAGAAGGCTTAAAAAATGAGTGTGGTTGATGGCTGTAATTGCTGGTAGGTAATTAATAATTTGAAAATGAGAGTAACTGTTATTCAAGCAATGAAATATGGACTCCAGAGCTTTACTTCAGGCATCTGTCTTTAACATCCCTCTGGCACTTGTTTGTTTGGTTTATTGAAGCAATCAAATCACCAAGAGTTTGAAGTAATTTGAAGTGAGCTCTGTGTATAATTTAAAGGAGATATGAATCATAATATACATAATACCTAACTAAAAAACTACAGTAAGCATTATTAATAGAGTCAATTTTTGAAAGCTGTTTATTGAGGAAAGTAAACTTATGATGTTGCCTAGAGAAAAGTTTAATTATGCACAGGAAATCTGCAGCCTGGTCTAATTAATATTGACTAATCAACCTCTCTTTCTCTTTCACATGCAGGAAAATATAAACATCAATGAAGCTTCCAGATGCTTGGTGAAACACATAATTGCTAGTGAGAGTGATCCAGTTCAGTCTATTGAACCAGATATTATAAAACCACACTTGAATTCCTCCAAGATTGTCAGTTGTTCAGCTTGCTTCAAATCCTAAGAGACTTCCAGGCTATCAAAAGAGCTGAAAAACTACAATTCACAATTTCTACTTTGTCCAACGTACCCAGCCTGCCCACATTGTCCATCAGCAGATTGCCATTTTCTCAAGAATATCCTTAAATTTTTCCACAATTTTTTTGACAGCCAAGATTTATTATGTTCATTGATAGCAACTGTTCAAAACTGTCCTTGGCTATTGGTCAAATGAGACTCGTGGTGATGGTGTGTTTTCCTGGTGGGATAACACCACCAGTGATATCAAAACCTATTACTTTGCAATGTAGTTTCTGAAAGCTTTGTGATGTGACTACAGCGATACCCTACTTGTCCATTGGTCCTCCAACTTGCCTACTCAATACACTGACAAGGCAACATCATTGCACTGTTTTGTCACACATCAAACTTCAATGATCTTGTTTCATATGAGGAAGATGACGATAATGAAAATATAGCTGTTCAGAAAGAGATAACAAGAAGGTAACAAAATTGAACATGAAGCAACCTTCCATGTCATTCAGTTCTCCAGAAGATCTCAGCTCCTGAGATTGATGCAGTATTTGCTCCCTCTTTCTGAAGAGTTAAATTCTCATAGTGTTAGCGTTGTTTTCAGATGAAGCAAAATGGAACAAGTCAAGGGTGAGGGGTGACAAGAAAAGGAATCAGGGGTACAGCCTCAAAGATGAAGCAGCTAAGAATCTTCAGAAAGGTTATCTATTCTATAAAGCCAGTAATTCCTCTGAAAAGTACTCATTCGTTTTGTTCTTACCTCTCCATCCTTAATGCCACAGATGTCCCAGTGTGTTTGAACTATGCATATACTGTAAGCCCCTGCATGCATCCCTCCATCATGGTGATTCTCATGGAAAAATCCACTATGCACACTATAATGTAACAGCTGAACTTTTCAGGAATGCATCTGTGTTTAATAGCAGGGTATCTGCTTTCTGAGAACATTTCTTCTAAAACACTCAATTGTATGAATGATCGCAGGAAGTAAAATGAAATGGCCCTAATAACCACTCCTGGAATATGTGCAGAATTTGTTGAGCTGCTCTGTGGAAATGAAGTGGTTGATATTCAGAATCCCACAAAATTTCAATCATTTAAACAAATGTGTCTAGACAAGAAGTCTTGATATCTGGCTCAAGCCCCTGCAAGACAAACTTTGCCCGTCTCCTGCTGTAGACAAATAACTTGCATTTTCTATTCCCACTCATCCTTTTACTTCCTAAGCTATGGACTCTCAGTGCCAGGAGCTGTCTTCTGAGATGGCTTCTTTCCTTAAAGATGTTAACGCCATGGAGAGGAGGAGGCAGAATCTTGTGACATCCTGTGTTTGTGGACGTCAGTGCAATACTTAACTGAACACTTAGTTGGCAATGGAGTGAAACACTCAAAGGCTAGTGAATAGGTGTTGATTTAGAAATCCTCAAGCTGACCTTATCCTGTGAGACTTATGGGTTTCTTCTGCCTCTGAAATTCATCCTATTACTTGTCAGTGTTAGGTTTGTGGTAGGACTTGATGACCTTTAAGGTCTTTTCCAGCCTAAATTATTTGATGATACTATCACTGAATGAGCTATTACTACATCATAGGCACTGCAGAGGACAGCAGGGGACACAGACATCATGTGCTCTTCCTAAAGCCTTAAACTGGTTATTTTTTGTCATGGAATTTTAGAGTAAGAAAGCAAGGTCTGTGGTTTTAAAAATAAAAATCCACATCCGGAATCAATCTGTGCACACACATAGATGTAAGGGTCCATATATATCATGAGCTGGCTTTTTTCGAGGAGAGTAATTTTCAAGTTGTTTTGATCGCAGTGTTACCCCTTAACACTTGTGTTAAACATCCTTTAACTCCTGCTGTGAACTGGGTCAAATAACTTAACCTTTCTGCCTCAGTTTCCTCATCTGGAAAATAGGGATTGATGTACACACCTACCTCACAGCACTCCTTGAAAGTTACTGTTGGCACCACGCTTTGAAGATATATGTTATACAAATGCCAAGCTCTGTTACTGCTCAGAATGAAATATGAGTGCCCTCTAGCATAAATACATGGTGCTGTAATGACTTAATGTTCTAAATCTATCCAGGGCTTGTCTGTGCTGCAACAATTAGCTTCAATTATTCCACTTCAGTTAACCTAGCCAAGGTTGTAAAGCAACGTGTGACTGCATGGGATGATTAGATTAGCTGCAGACGGCTGGAAACGGAAACTGGCTGTGCAGATGTCATGCTACTAGTTTAATAATCTCAGCAGCAAAGCTGCAATACACAACTAGTGCCAGACCAGGTAGTTCAAGTTTAAAGCATTATTTAAGCCAAGTCATATGGATGCCTTATTAAGGATAACACTCGATTCATATCTTGAGCCAACACTGTTGGGAACATGGCACCTAGGTATTCAGATGGCTTCTAAAGGGCTGAGTTTTCATGAGCTGAACCCCATGCTTTTCTTATAAATTGATGCCTCAGGTGAAGCAGAGGAAGTTGTCATTTCTCCCAAAAATTATTTTGTGCTCAACTTGCAAACTGCTCAAACATAGCAGCTGCTAATGTGTTTCAGTTACCTTCGGATCACTTGTCTTTGGTGGCTTCTAGCCAATATTCATTAAGCCTAATGGTAGCTTCCTCAAATGTTTGAGAGCTATGGCTAAAGGTCTGGTATAGCAGTAACTAAAGAAACTCACACAAATAAAACACTTCAAGGACACACAGACCTTTATGTTTATGTGTGTTGTATAAACCTGCTTTAAACTATGGACTAATCACCTGTTTCCCTTCTTTTCTGTGTTAAGTTTTACTGCAGTCACAATTCTTGGGCAGATTTTCCCGTCTCTGGTAGATGGTGGATAGAATTTGGCCAATTTCTAGAATAAGGACTAAACAAGGTATATATTCTAAACTCACACATATTTACACCATGAGAATTAGAACAATATCATGAAGAATCAGGCTTCCTTAGGAAGGCACATAATTCTAAATGTTCATTTCTATTTGCACTGAAGAGATAGGAATCTGTCAAGTCTCTTTCTGTAATGCAATAAATGTGTGAATGCCACCTGGGTATCTAGCAAACACAGCCCTTTCAGAAGTGGTTGTCGTAGGCAGGTCAGAATAAAAGCTTTAATTTAGAATTAATGAGCTCAGTTTGTGGCAATACCCTTTCAGGAACAAATGTAAAATTTAGTTATACTGTGTCAGTCTCTAACAGGTTTTGTTTATGTATTGATACATTCTGTGCTATGTTCTCTTTGCTGGTCATTAGGGACCAGGCATCTTAATTGCATGGCCATCTAAAAATGAAACATTTTCCCCTTCTGTTTGCAATAATTAATAAAAGACATGAGTCTATGACCCTCTAAGTGAGCAAAGATGGATTTAAAATTCATTTTCATTCTAGTCCTCCATAAGCGCCCCTCTGGGTGTCCCAGCACCTAGAACCACAGGTGAGGTGCAGGGCATGAGGGATGAGCCCAAATGACTCATGAAAAATGGTGATTGAGCATCTCCACCCCACGGCTTCATTTACCAGCTCAGCCACAACACCAGGAATAACAGGATGACGTTTTCCATCTTCAAAGCTCCATACAAACAAAATCTCATAACTATAAATACCTTGGGAAGCATATACATATTATTGAGAAGAAAATGGATGGAGTGAAAAGTAAATATTGCTTTTTTATTCCAGAAGGATCATAATTTATTCGACCAAGTTGAGCTGTCAAGGGAAAGCCATTTGGACCCTGAAAATCTGGCTTTCTTCTTCTTATGCATTGGCTTTTTAGATCATATATTTTCATTGAACTTTTCTATTCAGGAATAGTCATTCCCAGCAGTACCTTGTGTACGCAGCTTGAATTGTACATCAGTATTTTACCTTCAGACTTTTTTCTGTAGCTTCCATTTTAACCTGCCTGACCATATAAAAGGGGAGGGAGGGAAGGAGAAGGTACGCGTTTAAATAGCAGTTTTGTTTTACATCTTAAAACACTCGGTCTAGGTGAATGAAGTGAAATTGTTAAATATATGTGGAAATGCAATTGTATGTCAATTGCCAGGAAACAATCAATGAAAATATATTTTACCGCACCAATATTTATGCATGTGACCGCAGGCTCTATTGTAATAAAAGATGACATTTCTGACAAGACATGGAATATGAGTGTTTTGTAAAATTAATTCATTACCAAAGTAAGCAGACACAAGTAGCCACAAGCTAATTTATCTCTAATCATATGTAGCAAATCTCTCATATATGTATTAATAGTTTCATTTAGACTGTTTACTTTAGTTCAACCCCTCTTTTAAACCATCCAGATTACTGTTAACATTGATTAAATGATTACCAGTCTAAGACAGAAACTTTCCACCTTTTCTTCCTTCATTATCCTGTTTGATACTGCAGTTCCAGATGCTAGTTTTATGGCTCCAGCTCTTCAGAGAACCTCGGTTCAAAGTCTGATTGCACAGGCAGAATTTCTGGCTCACAGGTAGATGCATCATCAGTTTGGGGCTCTTTATTAACTGCACACTCCTTTCTCAGAAGTCTGGCTGGGTAATAAATGGCCTACATTTGTTAATCAGGCAGCTGCATATCTAGGGTATAGTAACGACATTTGTCTTCAGCTGTCAGGGCAAGTTGGTACCTGCAGCAATGTTACACACTTGACCTTTCATGATTCCTTAGAAATATTAGATTGCTTTATTAATTAAAAGAAGAGGAGGTGCTTACCTGCAGTGTGAGTCTAGTATTTATTTTACAGCTCTTATCTTTTCTGCAGCATCAACAAAACTAACATTGTGGTTTCATTGCCTTTTTTCATAATGCAACCTGACATTCTCACACCCTATGGTGGAAGGTGCTGCAAGACCCACAGTCAAACCCCCAGCATTTAGTACCACTGTTGCAGCACTCATAACAAAGAAATATCTTTGACTGCTCAATTTGGGAGCACTCATTTCCTGAAAATCCTCTCCTTTGCAGTTGCAGTGCATCAGCTGCCTAATTAGGACTGGAATGTCCTTGTTTTATGTTTCAAATGCAGTAATAATAGTTTACAAAGATAAGATACTAAACTGAGCAAAGCCACAGCAGCAACTCCCCAGGGTGGTAGCTAAGCAAATGAAAATCTCCTGGTAGACTTCCCTGCATGTCAACAATGGACAAAGTTGTCCTAGCCTGGTATTTGCCTGGTTTCTTCCAGGAAATGAGCTTTCAGTTAAGCCATAGTAGCTCAATTCCACAGCAACTGGCAATATTTGCACCTGGCATTTATGGAGTTCAAATAGCTTTAAAAGACAAGCTACAGTTTCTTTCAGGAATTACATCTTTGTTAAGGGTGCCTAAATACTTTCTCAGGTACACGGAAGGTAATTTTGGGTATCTAGCTCCCGTGCAAATCTATCCATGTATCTTCTGTTTTTGTGAATTCATGCCTTTGGCTTTCACAGACCATGCAAGGAAAGGGCCACTACAAGATGTTCCTTTAGCAGAGATGTTCAGCCATATCCAAAGGAGATCAACACAATGAATGGAGAGGCAAGGAATGCAACCAGGGTCATGGTGGACAGAAGCATCTGGGACTTGTCCAAGACCAATTCAAGAAGCACTCAAGAGCACTGAAAGGTGCTCCACAAGTTCCTCAGTAAGATGCAGAAATCGCTTAGTGAAAATCTGACAGTGTTAAGTTTTTATCACTTTAGAGGTCTGTGGATTTTCTAAGGCACAAAAAACTATTTCTTTACTTTGTGTGCCTTGAAATTTGTTTCTTTTCTGGCTACCTTGCCAGAAATATAGCTTCTTTTGGGAATTCTCTCTTTCTGACCATTGGTAAGATCGCATCCCCTTGTCTTGACACTTTGGTGAGGAGCCTTTACTGGAGTCATTTAAAACTGGGGCTGTCATGGTTTAACCACAGGCAGCAACTAAGCACTACAGAGCCACTTGCTCACTCTCTGCCCCAGCAGGATGAGGGAGAGTCTTGGAAGGATAAAAATGAGAAAGCTCATGGGTTGAGGCAAGAACAGTTTAATAATTGAAATAATAATAATAATAGCAGTAATAATAATAATAGTAAAATAACAAAGAAAAAGGAATAAACCCCAAGAAAGAGAAGTAAGCAAATGAAAACAATTGCTCACCACCAACTGAACAACAGCCAGTCACACATCCAAAGCATAGCCTTATACCAGCTCTAAGAAAGGAAGAAAATTAACTCTACCCTAGTCAAAATAGCATGGTGATCATCTAGATCTTGCCTCCAAGTGTTAACCTGCATTAGCATTTCTGATCACCAGTGACAGCTGATAATGCTGCAACACCTGGCTGATAAAGACAATAGACACTTTAAACCATCCATAAAACACTCTGCAGGCAAAGCATAAACAGTCATAAACCTGATGGAAGCGAAAAAGTAGTTTCCCAAAGGCAGCTGCACCTGGAAGTCTGTGGCTGTTGCTGGGCAATGTACCGGTAATGGATATTTAAGGCTCCATCTGAGCTGGGTTAGCATGTCAGTTCCACCCTGGGGATTTTAACTCTGAGAGGAGAACGCTGATACCACACCTAAGGGTGATGTAGAGGTTGGAAAATACAGCACACAGCCAGCATGAGGATGGAAGCATCACTATTAAGTATATATGGTGGTTTTTTATGAATTTCTTCCATTTTCCCTAACAAAAGCAATATATTGACAGAAATGAACTATTTAACAGGACCTTGTAGCTTCCTTTTTATGCCATGGACATAAAAGGTGCTGTTTCCAGACAGAAGTAAATCTGAGAGGCCAGTTATAGCATTTATTGTGAAGCCCAGAGAGTCTTGTCAAACCACTGATTGATTGTTGAAGAGCACTTTATTGCTCTGTTTACTAATGTCTATGTGTTTATTATGCAAAGGGAGGCTCTCTACATGACAGCAACTACACAGCTATTTAGCCTGGATGTGTCTTCAAATTTTGGAGCTCTTTATAATGAAAACAAAGAAGGAAGCTGTTGTGGAGCAGTAAACTCTTCCTGGCATCTCTTTGTGCTTTGAAGAGAAAATATAGTTTAGACTTTACTTTGCTTTTTGCTTTAATTTAGATTTTCTTTAATTGTATCTGGCTGATGGAAAAGGAGCAGGAGTTACAACCTATTATTATTTTTTCTATTTAATAAACTCATTAACCATTGACCATTGTTTGGTCAATTGGCCCATAAAGCATAACTTTCTATAAAGCAAAAACTTCTCATTTCTTTTGCTAGGACTAATAGATTTCCCTTCAGTTCAGGCAGCCTGGCTTGGTTAATGGGCCAAGGGAAAAGGTCTATTCCACCTAAGCATTGCAATAGGAAGAGGGGTTAATAAATGATGACATCGTCCCACTCCCTTTAGATATTTTATAATCAGGATGTACAGAATCCATAAGCTATATGGGGGGATTCTGCATCGTAGGCAGATGAAATCTTAAGGCTTGGACTGTACAAGTAGCCAACATGAACGACAAACCTTTATGGTAATAGACCTTTTCAGTAGCATGTGAGAGAATATGAATCTTCTGTCATAAAACACAACATCAAAGTTCCACAATATTCTAACCAGCCTGAAAATGCAGAATAGAATAAAGCGTGTCTTCCATCTGCGCAAAGGTTGCCTGGAGGCCAGGCAGGCACAGTTTAGGTCCAAGTGACTTTAAAATGAGACAACTTATCCAGGTGCCCGTGGAGGCTGTGACAGTATGGCAGCTATTTAGAAATATGAAGTAAACAGTTTGAAATGACGGGGGAATTTCAACAAGAAGCAAATCAAAGAAAATGCTGAAAGGAAGAGAGAAATTAGCAGGTCAAAAGCAGTTGTGTTTTCAGTGTGCTTGGCTGGCACTTGCCACTATTGGAGCTGGGAAGTGCATGGAGCAAAGGAGCCAGCCTGCCCTGCCAGGTTCACTGGCTGCATAGAAAGAGGTTTGGTTCAAATCTCAGTACAGACTGCCTGGTCATCCCTTTGTCAGCGTCATACCAGGGGATGGCACCTCCAGACGTATCTCAGTTCACTGTGTTGCTCTGGGAGGCTCCTGGAAGTTCAGCATCTCTGCCAAGGTTCAGCAGGACATGGTCCTGTGTCCTCTGCTTGACAGGCAAAAGCAGTCATATGCGTAAGTCTATATTCCTTGTTATGTCATGACATGGGGGCTCCATGGATGAGCACTGTGGTACTCATAGCCAATACCACAGTGAAGTCCCACCAGTGCTTTCTTAACACTGCACAATGCAGTCTTGCCCACCACTGACTGAGCTCTTAAAAGAAAGCCAGATGTGAAAGGGGATGTAAGCACTCAGTGGAGGATAGAGCTAAAATCCAGAACTGCAGACCTCAAAACACAGAGGCAGCTGCCACCCTGTGACATGCAGCTCTGCAGTGCCTTAGCTCCTGGCAGTAGCATTGCTCCAGCTGCATCAGCTCTGCCTCCTGGCATGCCAGTGGGTGTCTCTGTGGTGTCAGGACTGAGCAGCTTAGTGCCCAGTTAGTTCTCAGTATTCCTCCACTACACAGCTTCTCCTTATGGATTTTTAAACACCTTCAAAGTGTTACTGCCACCCTCTTTTCTAGGTAATAAAGCACCAGTTAAAATGTTCAACCTTTTCTTCCTGGTGGGGTTCAAAGCCCCACCTCATGTTGCCCTGATGTGGAGCAAGACGCAGAACTGTTGCCTGCCTAGAATTAGCCATCTTGGGACCAGGGTTTAGACTGAATTAGTCAAAAGATTGTCTAATCTGGAAGCAAAAACACTCACTGGAAGGTGTGCAAAGACCTGAATTGCTTTCCGTGCTGGACACATTTTGTCATGCATTTTAGTCCATTGTGCTGGTTTTGGCCGGGGTAGAGTTAATTTTCTTCACAGTAGCTGGTATGGGGCTGTGATTTGGATTGGTGCGGGAAACAGTGTTGATAACAAAGGGATGTTTCAGCACTTGCTGAGCAATGCTTACAGAGTCAAGGTCTTTTCTCCTCCTCACACCACCCCATCTGCAAGCAGGCTGAGGTGCACAAGGGGTTGGGAGGGTACGTAGCTGGGACAGCTGATCCCAAGGGGTATTCCAGACCATATGCCATCATGCTCAGCATGTAAACCTAGGGGGAGGATTGGCAGGGGGGCTGTTGCTTGGTGACTG